ATAAATCTGCCTCTGAATCCTGGGAGTCGTTCTGGTGTTTCCACCTGCTGTTGGAGAAATTTGAATGCCTGTATCTTGTACTCTGAATAACTACTTTAAAGAAAACACTATGCAATGTATTAACTATTGTTATTCTTACAATTTTGTTATGAAATTTTGTTTTACCTTTTGTCCATAAAAAAATACACAGGACTTCTAGTCAGTCTTAAAAAAAAAAAATCCCACTCCTAACAGTAATACTACCATCTAAACTAAGAAAATTAATAACCAGTCTATTTAAATTATAGTACACATTATAACTCTCCAAGCATGTCCATACTAGCTGTGATATAACAAGGAATATATATCTGATCTCTATCCCCAGGTTTCTGGATAGCGTTCCTAAAACCCTTTTAAATTCCTAAGAAACAGGGGTGTTGACATTACCTTTTGAACTAATACTTTGCTCTTTCACCTAAGTTCTGGATGTATCACTCCTAAATCCCTTGTAATTTCTATGTGACAAGAATATTTTTTGTGTTAATGAGACAACTCTTGGGATTTTCCAGTGCTTCTGGATAGGGGAGCTCTCTCTAGAAAGATCCAATGAAGTCTGACAGCATTTTCCCCACCCTACCATCATTCAGCAAGGAAAAGGGCCAGAGAATGCAGTCATGCCTTCATGAAGCCACCCTCGGAGAGGTTCCAGGTTGGTGAACACATCCAGGTCCAGAGAGGGCCGCATACCCCAACTCCTTAGGCACAGGAGCTCTTGTCCTTGGGACCCTTCTGGACCTCCCTTCACGTACCTCTTCATCTAGCTATTTATCTGTCTGTTAGGGCTCGTGTCTAGATATCCCCCCAAAGCCTTATGTGGCTTATGTGGTCATAGGGGGGGCTTTTTCAGAGCTGGCTGGATCTAGAGCGTGTGACTGATACATGGTGCAATGCTAGGAGCAAGGGTGCAGGGTGAAGGGCGAATGATTACTAAATCAGCCCACTGATTGGTTTGGCACTGCCCTAATCCCAGTAGCCTGGATACAATACAAGGGGGAAAAATAGGCTTATGTTGCCCCTTGCTTGCTTGCTTTTGCTGTCTTCTGCTTGCCATTAACTGGTTTTCCTCAGTGCCCCTCTGCCAAGCCACCCTGCCTTAGAGCCAGCCAACAATGGACTGAAACCTCTACAAACCTTTCCCCCTTTCACTCTGGGTGTCGGGTATTTTGTCTCAGCAACAAGAAAAGTAACCAAGACACTATGTTTTATCTTATCCTTTACAATGAATCAATGAACTTAAGTGCTCACCTGTTCTGTGAGGCATTTTGGAAAACTGTCAAAATGAGGGAGTTGGGGTAACTTGTGATTTTTAGCTAAGTGGGACAGACATGTAAATAACCTGGGGACTCTACTTGAGACTGGTGTCACTTGAGACTGGTGTCAGAAAGCTGGGGAGTGAAGGAAAATCTTGTGGGACTCTTAATCTGTAGGGTCTGCGTTAACTTCAGGAAGGTAAGTGTCATAACTGACCTGCAGAAAACCCTGCTCGTCTCCAACAAGGAGGAAAACTCACACGTTTGATCACACACCAATACTAGTATGAATACAAAGGAAAAAAGAGTTTTCTTTTTCAACAGTTTTTACTGTTTGGTTTTCTAGACTGGGTCTTACTCTGTTCAGATTGCCCCTGAACTGACGCTAGCCCAGGTTGGCCTCACACTTGCAGCAATCCTCCTCCTGCTTGCAGTATTGCTGTCTCCGGAATACTGGGATTACAGGCACGTGCCACTACACCTGGCCTACCCTTTTCAATAGTTGTTAGTTTCTTAAACTCACAATTATGTTTTGATTTGGTATACACTGAATAATGTGACCTACAATTGGTACATTTCATGAATTTATGATAGATTATGAGAATAAATCATCAAAACAAACAAATTTATTTATTTTGTCATTCTGATTATTTATTTA